TGGGTCTACCCTCCCTAGAGAGAGGTTTGTTGTTTGCAACGCGCAACGCTTGATTGAGCTTCCAATCTAAGGCAGGATCCGGACACTTCTTGAGCTGCTGCGCACATACAAACAACAGACGCGGCGTCTCGTACGGCACTCGTGCCTTCCTGCATGTCAATAAACAGTTTGTTCAGAAGTAACGTGTTTTTGTTTGCATTTTTTTGGAATTTTTGCTTTCTGAAACCTGGCTCGCACAGCAAACACAAGTCGTGCTCACTTTTGCATTGGCTGCACGCTGGTCAGTCTCTATCTGCCTGCTCCGATTTGCCGTTTCGTAGAATTATTTTGCGGTAATTTAAGAACGGTCATTTGTGTGACGCATTGACTGCCGGGATTTAGCGGATAACTAGCGATTCTCTTTCAGCTGCCGAGAGGCAACATCTCGTTCGCAAGAAAGTACAAAAGATTTGATTTGCGACATTTTTAGCCATAATGTTTCAGAAATTTTGAGAGAATTTTGCACGAGGTAATTACAGACAACTATGTCGAAAAAATGAGGAACATTTGTAAGCAAAATAGCCGTCTGGGAGTTTGCTACTTTCTCGCTAATGTCGTTAGTCTCTAGCTCGGATTTTTGATTGTGTATTTTTTGCATTCAAGTTGCCAAACTGTTGATTGCAACGGCGCCGATCATGCGAGCTTTTGTGGCGAAGTGTGCTGTTGCATGAGTGTCACAATGGCAGCGCGTGTGTGGGTGCGTCTGTGTGTGTGTGTGTGTGCATGCTGGAGATTGGGCGACCATGTGTTCAAATATACGGCACACGATCACACATCAAGAACTTGAACAATTTCATTCGCATACACAGTTCCAGTGCGTATAAGAAGATGACGCAGTCGGGTAGAAAGCAACGTTGTCTTGTTTGCAGTTCTTAGTGCACTATTAGCAGCTTCGTCGCGGCTCTAGGTGCCGAAGCCATGGAGGAGCGATGACGTTAGTGTACACTGTTTGCTGCTGCTCTTGCGCTGAGCGTGTCTGGTATATTACAAATTGCATGTTTAAATTGGCAGGCTGCCATGCAGCTCGAGCAAGATGAACATGCTGAGCAAGATGAACATGCTGACGAGGAGCACGCTGAGGACAGGCACATGCTCTCCCTTGTTCAGGCACCGCTGATCTAGGGCCTGAAAGACGGTGCAATCACTTGTGCGAAATCACTTGTGGGTTCGTCGCAAGAGTTCGATGCGAGGAGCTTCACGATGACGGACAGGGGGTTGAAGCTCCCAAAGTCAAAAAGACAAGAACGAAGAAACCGGTACCGTGCCATGACCTGAAGAAGATGTTCGAAGCTGGTGAGAAACGGTGGAAACCTTGGATCGATGCAGCCAGCCTTGCCATGCTGGAAAAGTTGTGTCGCTTAACTGTCACAGCGACAGGTCCACGAATGATGTTGTCGACGTGAACGAGTTTTCTCAGCCCAGTGGAGGTGTTCCACTGCCAAGCCCCGCGCGAGCACTGGCATCCGGCCAGTCAGGAAATTTGGTCCTGAGTGCTCTCAAGATCAAAGTAAGCTCTGTTCAGCAGGCTGGGCCTGCGCTTGCCCTATTGCTGTTCTGCGTGGGCTTGAATGCTAAACCCTTCTGAATCCCTGGTGCAGGTTTCCGAGGAAGGCATGGCCCCGCCATTGAGGCAACTCTCATCCGAGGATGGCGCGGACAGACTCGAAGCAGCCTTAGCTGTGGACAGGTCATCTGTCATGTTGTGTTGTATTATGATTATTCTGGCCTGGACTGAGGAGCGTCTGATCCTCACGGCACCAGTTGGCCTTCGGCAGCTTCTGGATGCTGTGCCTCTCCTCGAGGCTGAGATACCCTTGCTCGAATCAGGCAAGGCCTTGTTCAATCGGTTGCCGTCGGCTTGGCTCGATGTCACCGGGAACAACACAGCGATGGGGCACCTCTTTCGCAAGAGCTGTGCTGCTTTGCGGTGTTGTTTCGCTGGCAGGAAAACTGACAGCCCGTATGTACCGAGGACTCGCTGTCTATTCGCTTCAAGACGCCACGAGTTGTCCGTTTTCGAGCCGTTGAAGTCGGAACTTATGTTGCAGGCCGCCTGATCTTCATTTTATCCAGGTCTCATAGCCACTAAGTAGCATATTGGCACACCAGTCGATGATATATATATATATATATGTAT